TTTAACAGACGGATATGAGAGTGATATAATTCTTCCCTTCTAGATTCAAGCAAGAATAAATGTAATTTTCAAAATATTAGTTTATTGCTTTGGATATTGGCAGGTTTAGTTTTTTTGTAAATGTAAACCTGCAAATATACAAGGGTAGGTAAAAATGCTGCCACATAACATACACTACATAATGTTAAACAATCAATAGCCAATATTTGTTTATATGAATCTTTGGTAGTTGAATCAATCCTCTATTGAACCTCTCTCAACAGAAGTTTTAGCTTCACAAAGGTAGAAAACACTGCAGAACTAAGGTGCTCATATATTTTATTTCATGTATATTTCAAACACGTCAGTAAAGGAAAAAAACATTTTAAAAAAGAACACACTGATAATACCACCTAGCTCACGTCCATGCAGTGGTTTCAGCTTGGCTCAATATGTTGCCGTTTTGTGATCAATATGAGTGATCAATACAGTGGGCACTCCCACAAGATTAGAAGGTTAGAGCCAGATTTCCATCGAATCCAATTGCAGCAGTTGAACTCACCTCTGCTGCGTGTTGCTTGTCAGCGTTTTGGCACAAGACACTTGTCCTTGTGTATAATCGTGAAACCTTCATTTTCCTTTTCTTCTCTTAAAGAGACTCCTCCAGTGAGTCACTATTGGCAGAGATACCCCTTTTGAGAGCATCACAGGGGTTTGATTGGAGTCTTGGAGGGCTTGGTTTGCAGCTGCCGTGAAGATATTGAACATGAAATCTTTGCTATTATCAAATCCATAATCAGAGTTCTTATCCTCTGATCCGCTGTTATTAAAGGTCTGTTGTCTGTGTGGAGGAATAACTAAAAAGTCACGTCTCTGGGGCCATGTTGTGTTTCCTCGCTTTTATATTTGACCTCAGTTGAAAGCTGTAGGGATAAGGCCTGTGTGGTTAAGAGCAACTAAGACAGATGTAGTTTGCATTTGCAACATAAAATATCAGATTTTGACTTTGTTAGATACCAGTATTTTTGTAGTAGGGTTCAGGAGGCTTTAACACTACTAACCAGCCTTCATCATTTCTCCTGTTGTCTACTGTATCTCAGCTCTTAACTTTAGGATTCTTCTGTTTGTCCATTTCAGGAGTATCAGCAGCAAAGATATACTTTAAGTAGTAATGATGAATATTGTACAATAAGGCAATTATAACACTTATACAATAGAGCTGAAAAAATAGGCTGATTAGTTGACAGATAATCTGCATCAGTTTTTTTACAACAGAATAGTAATTTAATAAAGCATTTTTTTTTAAAATAAATATTTTAAAATTTTAATATTTTATTTGTTTCCTGGTTTTCTTACTCCTCTACAACAGTAAAACTAACACCTTTGGATTTTTGTAGGACAAAACAAGCCTTTTGAATACAGTGTCTTGGGCTTTAGGTAAATGTGATGGACATTTTTATGTTTTTTTTTTATTTTATACATCAAATAAGTCATAGAGAAAACAAAGCATTAAAGTTAATTCATAACTTTGAAAAACAGCAGTTCACTGTCACTCACAAAGTCCATTTGGTAGCTTTTGATTACATGATAGATTGTGAGAACTGCTTTTTCCAAGTTCAAGAGTAAACTCAATTAAAAAGTAGTGTTTTTATTCTCTATGCTAAAGAATCTAAACCTGCAGGGTGTAACAATTTCTCTAAAATACACCATATGTTACACATAGTTTGTATGCAAATGCCATTTTAGGATAATCAGATTGCAGGAGGTTTTTTTAAGTCCCGCTGTGATGTTCACGCTCTCTTGTACTCCCTCAGCACATTACCTATAGATTACTACATGTCCTTCATCCCCCTGTTTTGACCTTCCTTACGTTGTTTATTCTTTTGTTCATCTCAAGAGAGGAACCCCACGTTAACATTGCTGATTGAGCAGACACAGTATTAGCTGTGAATGAAAAGCGGTGTATTCTGTTTCTGCTGTAGACTAAAGGGAACGCAGATTATGCTGCACATATGCATTCTTCAGCACATTAATTATGCATGTATAGCTGCCTCGCTTTAATCACCCCCACAATATATGCACCCTTCTCCTCAAAAAAGATGAATAAATAAATCTACAAATAAATGTGAAAGTCATCAGTAAAGGTCTCTGATGCAGCAGGTAAAATATGTGTGCGTAATGTGCTTGATTTTTGTCCGCACCGCCCTCAGTTTGAAGTAATTGCAGCTCATTTTGTTTGTTTATATTGTTGGCCGTGTCACTTCCCTGCTGAGTAAAGTGGACTTCAGGCCCTGTTTGAATTCACATTACCTACCAGTTAATTAGTAATACACTCATGTCCGGGGTGGAATGCCAAAATGGCAGAAACGAATTATCCTTGTTAGATGGTCCAAATAGAGTTCGCTTTAAAAGAGCTTTGGTTTTTTTGAGGCTATTTAAAGAGAGAGTCGGGGAAAGATGTTTTTGGCTGCCAAACAGACTTGTGTTTTTTAGATGTATGACCCGCAGCTGATTTTCCCCTGTGTCCAATATGGGGATACAACTGTGGTTGGCTTAGCAATCAAGATACTCTCCAGAAAACATATGGGATTAACCCAGTTTTAGTTTGAATTTCAAAGGTTCCCAAAGAGGATAAAGCCCATGAGAATGATCATGAATGTCACATTTCTTTGCTGTTTGAAGGGAGTTCTTCTTTTTGGGGAGCAATGACGGGTGTTGCAGCATAAACTATATAAACTTTAATCTTCATCCAGCTTGAGCCCTGGTGCACACAAAAACCTTGACAAGCTCACATACAGCATTCGGCTCTCTTGCACACACATACATAAACATTAAATCACACATTAAAGGGGTCACTATGCTTCTAACAAAGTGCTTGTCAGACCATTGAACAGTTTCTGAAACCCCCTGAATTTTGTAATGTTCAGAAAGCAGCAATCGACAAGGCCACCCACTTCACGCTGCAAGTGTGCAGAAGTTAGAAAAGAAGGCAAAAATGTAACTTCTCTCTCAAGATTTCCTTATTATTCTTCACACAACTTCTTCCATCACTTACTCTGTGAACAAACAAATGCAACAGCATGAATGCCTTTGAGGAAAGATTGCCCAAAGAGTGCAGTTCATGTGCTTCAGCCCCCCCTCCTCTTTCTTTCGAGTGTGACCACTCAGAACATCTATAAACGCTTTGGCCCTCAGAGTCGGTCTGATGACATCTTGTATGAACTAGTATGTTCCTAGCATACCCCTGCTTCAGTTTCCTCTGTGCATTGGTATTCAATTAACAAAGTCGTTCAGTATCTGAGAGATCTAAATGAATTTGCGAGGGACATCAGTGGAAGTGTCTTTTATTTGCAAGACGTCTGCATGACTTTCCTTTTATAGCTGCTCTTTAATGGCACTCTAGCCACAGCCTGTGGTCTCAGTCATGCTGCTCCGTCTGTCTAACGCGGTTTTCATGCACCACTAAAACCAACAAACTACCATCGGCACATGTTCAAATACCCTATTAAATAGAGGAGGTCCCTTTTATGCCCTTGTTAGCTTATTATGCACTGTGGATATAAGGAGAGTCGGGGGCCACAGTGAAAGCGCAGAGCAACCGCTGTCACAGACTGTTTGAAGATGTAAGAAATGCAGTTTGTGGTGGTGCAGGAGTCCTCGCTGAATTTCGCCTTCAAAGAAAAGTAACGTCAGGCTTTTAGGAGACAGAGTGCTTGAAAATGAAGACACTGCCAGCCGGGAGGAGAGAGGGAAGAAGAGTAAACAAAATATGTCAGACAGTAGTATCGTTTTTCAGTGTACTACTGAACTCTTGTTGTACCCCGCGTGGCGCTACACATGCTCATGCAGACAAACAGATCCTTTATGTGCGTATCTCAAGGGATTAGGGAGCAGGACTAGACCTTAGACGTACAGTAAATAGAGACACAGCATGCTCTTTCGGTCTTCCTTTGGTGATAGCAGGAGTGTGAAACCTCAAACAACCTCTCCCCTCCCCTCTAACACTCCCTCTCCACTCTATCTCCACAGGTCCTCTCTGGGTTTGTAACATTTATTGGGCTTCACAGGAAGCCTGCTGGGCCTGCTATAGCGCAGACATGCCCAGTAAGGCTGTGGGAGCATTAGGGACAGCCTCAGTTGTCTGTGGGAGAAAAGAGATGAGAGCTGAGAGAGTAGAGGGAATTGTGACTGCGATTCCCACATTCAGCTTGAAGCCACTGATCCGATTTATTATATTTCATCCTATGCTATATATATATATATATATATATATATATATACACACACATCCCATTCTGTTTGCCTCCCAAATGAGCAATCTTTAAGAGCTTGTTAGCATAATTGGCTTCAACTTTGCTAATTTTACTTCAGTGACAAGAGGAGAAAGATGATTTGTTGAAGAGAGAAAGTGCAAAGAAGGAGGAAACAGAAAACTGCAGCGCTAGTTTCTGACCTATAGTGAAAAGTGAAAGAGGCAAAGATAGAAACAAAAATAAGAAGTGGAAAGGACAATTTTATCCTGGCAGTTGTTTTTTTTTTTAACTCCACTGCTGTCTGGAGATATTGTAAAGGCTGACTTCCCCATAAACTGTGTGGGAGCATCTATTATTGATGTGTCTGTGAATGTGGTCCTACTGCAGAGGCCCTTTGGGGGACAGCACATCTCCTCTCAGGCTCCCCTGCCTTTGTTACAGGCCCTCTCTCTATCTGAAGCATTTTTGGTGTGCTTGAATTATTGAGGATATTACAGAGCAGCTTTGACCTATATGGCTGACCCCTTTGTCTGCATGCCAGTTTAACAAAGTCTACTGTATAAGCATTTGTAGGATGTTTGTAGTGTGATGTTAAATTTTCATTATTCAACTATTTAATCTGCCCTAATTATCTTTTTTTTTTTTTTTT